ACACAGCCCCACACCCCTCAGGGTCAGGACGCAACCCCACGTCCCTCAGGGTCAGGACACAGCCCCACACCCCTCAGGGTCAGGACGCAACCCCATGTCCCTCAGGGTCAGGACACAGCCCATCTCCTCAGGGTCAGGACGCAGCCCCACACCCCTCAGGGTCAGGACACAGCCCCACACCCCTCAGGGTCAGGACGCAGCCCCACGCCCCTCAGGGTCAGGACGCAGCCCCACGTCCCTCAGGGTCAGGATGTGGCCCCACGCCCCTCAGGGTCAGGACACAGCCCCACACCCCCTTAGAGTCAGGATGCAGCCCCATGCCCCCTTAGGACCCGGCATACAGCTTACCCCCTCAGGTCGAGATCCTACCCCATGCCCCCTTAGGGCTTGGCACACAGCCCACCCTATCAGGGTCAGGACATGGTCCCCACACTCTCAAAGTCAGAACACAGGCCCACCCCCTTGAATCAGGGTGTGGCCCCACACCCCCTGCCACCATGCCTTCCTTGGAGGTGTGGAAATCTTGCTGGTATCCCCTGTGACTCTGAAAGTCCCCACAGCCGTTTGCTCTTCCTCTCCTCTACAGAGGCAGGTAGAAGTCAACGTGCGGAACAAGGTTCTATACCTGATCCAGGCCTGGGCGCACGCCTTCCGGAACGAGCCCAAGTACAAGGTGGTACAGGACACCTACCAGATCATGAAGGTGGAGGGTGAGTTGGGATGGACCATGGAAAGGTCCTGTCTGCCACACTGCACTCTGGCCAGAGCTGTCCTCCAGATGGCTACGGGCAGTGCCATGTCGACCCCAGGCATGACAAGGGGAGCTGGGTGGGTGTAAGCACAGGCTAGCCATAAGCATCACATGAGGTGGCCCTGCTGAGTGACCAGTGAGGGACTGGGTCCTTAGGTTCCCACCTTTGTGGACATCACACTCTCAGGCAGGCAAGTGGCAACAGGTCCTACACAAGGATGAAACGAGTAGGCAGTCATTTCCAGGTGGTCAGCCCTGGGAGGATGAGGCAGGTCCCTGGAAGAGCAGGACAGCCAGAGGCAGCTGAGGTGGCAGGAGACTGCCGGGACTCCGCGGGCCACGTGAAGCTCTGGGGTAACGATTCTCTCCTTCTCCAGGACATGTCTTCCCAGAGTTCAAGGAGAGCGATGCCATGTTTGCTGCAGAGCGGGTGAGCACAGTGGTGAGCGGTGCTGAGGACTGGGCTGTGTCTGGGCAGCAGGATGCAGTCCTAGGTCTGGGCTCATCTGGGGGAGTTGGGAGCGAGCTGTCTGGTCCCCAGAGATCAGAATCTCTGACGTTTCTGAAGGAACCCCTGCAGTTGTTCTGTGCAGGCCGAGGGAGAAGAGCCCACGGTGCATTTGAACTGGGGCTGTCGGGGGCATGTGTCTGCTGTCCTGGAGGGGCAGCTGCTGCCACCCACCCACATGTGCAAGGAGTGGGGCTCTGCCCCTTGCCCTCTGGGCACAGGTTGAGGTGGGCATCTGACGGCTGTCCTGCTCGGTGCTAATCGGGCCTGTTCCCCAGGCCCCGGACTGGGTGGATGCCGAGGAGTGCCACCGGTGTCGTGTGCAGTTCAGTGTGGTGACGCGCAAGGTGAGTGAGCAGCCGCACCCGGGCCGGGTAGGGAGCGGAGGGGTTGCATCCTGCAGGCACTGACCACCTGCCCTGTGCTCTGAGCCCCACCTCGTCAGCCTGGTGGGTCCCTTCCTGTGGCCACATCCACGACTAGGTGGACATGTGCGCTCAGACGGGGCGGAGGCTCGAGGCTTAGTGCCCGGCAAGGCCTAGCTTCACAGGGGTTGGAAAGGCCCCCATGTCCCAGGCTCTACTTCTAGCTGAGGCGATGCCTTCCTGGGTCACATAGGCAGCCTGCCCCTTTCTGAGTGGCCGCCACCCTCTGCTGTATTTGCCCAGCATGTTTCTCCAGCCACTGAACTTGTGTGCACTCCAGTCCCTGGAGCTGCCGTCTCACTCCCCACAAAGCCCCTCAGTTGAGTGTGGGGCCTGGGGGTGTGAGCAGATGCACAAGGACCCTGTGAGCATGAAAGTACGTGTGCTGTCCACATCATGTTCAGTGTAACTGCGGTCGTGTGCACGTATCTGTGTGCCCGTGTGTGCACTTACCCTCCCCACTCAGGTGGTGCTCGTATATGCGCGTGTATGTGTACGCGCATGCTCCGGCTGAGGAGGTGAGCAGATGTACACACATGCACGTGTGAACGCAGGGACATACTTGCCATGACGATAAAGTGTTCTAGACGGACTTGTCTTTTTGACGGAGTCCTTTTCCCCATACGGTGCCTCGTGTTGCTGCTCCTGGAGGTTCCCTGCTCCTTGGGGCTCCTTGGGGGATGCTGGCCTCTGCACAGTCCAGCAGATAGCCCAGGGTCGGCCGGGCCCCCAGCCTGGTGTGCCTCTGCCCCGTCCACAGCACCACTGCCGGGCGTGTGGGCAGATCTTCTGTGGCAAGTGCTCCTCCAAGTACTCCACCATCCCCAAGTTCGGGATCGAGAAGGAGGTGCGCGTGTGTGAGCCCTGCTATGAGCAGCTGAACAAGTGAGCCCCATCTCCACCGGGGGGGGGGGGCACGTGCCCTCACACCTGGGCTTCCATCTCCTGGCCATGGCCCCGCTTGCCCCTGCCCAGACCTGCATCGTGGGGTGGCTGCGTTCCCTTGGGTCCTGGTCACTCCCCACACTTCAGAACAGGTACAGCATTAACGAGGCCCGGAGCAGGTCCCAAGGAGTCCCACACTTGTACCCAGACCCTGTCCACAGTCACGTTCACAGCTAGAAACTGGGTGAGGTGGTGGATCCTTCTGGGTGCTTACAGTCACGGCGCCGGCAGGCGGGGCAGGCCCCATGGCGAGGGACAAGATGGACAGGGGTTGCCTTCTGTACCACTCATAGTTTTTCTGTCCCTCCTCCCCACTGGGCTCAGAGATCCTCATCCATGAAGAAAGTTCTATGTCTTGATCATTCTTCTAACCCATTAGGGACCCAGTGAACCTGACTTCAGGAAACGTTCATCCTGTTTTCAGGCCCAACAGTGGGCGCCAACGTGGGGGGCTCTGGGGCCAGAGGAGCTGGCCCAAGACGTGTAGGCAGAGCAGCTGAGTCAGTGCACACCCCTCAGGGCAGGCGGGAGTTGGGCAGAGGCTCTCCTGAGCGGAGGCCTTGGGTCTCTGTCTGCAAAGAGGAAGCTCTGGTCATGACAGCCCAGTGGCCTGTGCAGGGTCACGCAGCAGACGCGACAGAGCTGGGCTTTTGATCCAGGGCCCTTCCTGCTGATCTCTGGGGCCCTCGGGATACTGACCCAGACCTGGGGGTTTCAGCACGGGGTGGGGTTGGGTGGTGCCCAGCCCCTGTGGCCTGCAGTACCCTGTGTGTCTGCAGGAAAGCGGAAGGAAAAGCCGCCCCTACCCCTGAGCTGCCGCCCGAGTACCTGACCAGCCCCCTGTCACAGCAGTCCCAGGTACACGCCCCGAGCCCCTGCCCCCCCCCGGGGTCCCGCCCCGTGTCTTCAGGCCCCTCACCTGGCCTGTGTGTCGTAGCTGCCCCCCAAGAGGGATGAGACAGCACTGCAGGAGGAGGAGGAGCTGCAGCTGGCCCTGGCCTTGTCGCAGTCGGAGGCCGAGGAGAAGGAGCGCATGGTGACGGCGGGCCCGCGGGGGCGGGCTGAGGGCTCAGGCGCGTGGGGGCGGGGGTGCAGACCCTGCCATGTCCCTGATTTGTTACAGAGACAGAAGTCCACTTACACCGCGTACCCCAAGGCGGAGCCCCCACCCGTGGCCTCGTCCGCACCCCCTGCCAGCAGCCTGTACTCCTCACCCGTGGTGAGTCTCACTGCCGCTGGCTCTCTCTGAACCCCAGCACGGGCGGAGGCCCAGCCTGATTGGGTGCTCTGGGCCTCACCTGAGCTGCAGGGGTCCCAGGTGTGTGATGGTGAGGAAGCGGGCCGGCCTTCTGCTCCACCTCCATCCAGCAAGGCGAGCCATGGTGGAAGCACTGTGGTTGGCCCTCGGGAGGGTGGGAGGGCTGCGCACACCACCCACCTGGGCCCCTCTTGAGCCCTAGAATCACCCTGTCTCAGAGGAAGCACCAGCCAGTGAGAGCAGGAGGGGCTTGGCCGAGGGTGAGGGCGGGGCCTGAGGGGCAGGGTCTTCCCCACCGGGCAGTTGGGCTGAGGGGTGGGCTGCTGCAGAGCCACCCTTGGGGGGGCCAGAGAGCGGCCCGGGAATGGCACGTGGCCAGCCTTGGGACCACTGTGCAGTGCCATCCGCGTCCTGCCTGAGCTGCTGCCCCAGCAAACATAGCGCTGAGGGTTTGAGTCTCTGCTTGCTCGTATCCTCAGAACTCTGGGGGCTGTAGGTCCTCACACCCTCCTTCTCCCCGCAGAACTCATCAGCACCTCTGGCTGAGGACATTGATCCCGAGGTAAGGCCCGCCCACGGGGGTGTGGGCCTGTGTGTCCCCTATCCGAGAAGTGATCTCCTGGTTGTCTCCCCAGCTTGCTCGGTATCTGAACCGCAACTACTGGGAGAAGAAGCAGGAGGAGGCACGCAAGAGCCCCACACCCTCGGCGCCTGTGCCCCTGGCCGAGCCGGCTGCCCTGTCCAGGGAAGGGCACGCGGCCCCGGGGAGCACAGTGGAGGTAAGGGCCACGCCCACTGTCCTGCCCTCCAGCCCTGTGGGTATGGGGGACCAGGGAGGCTGACGTTCCCTCACACTCATCTCTTCCAGGTGCCCCTCCCAGAGCCTGACTCTCAACCCGTTGCACCCTCTGGGGGTCCTTTCAGTGAGGTAAGTTACGGCGGGTCTGTCTCCATCCCTAGAGGCATCAGCACACAACCCCACAGAGCCCCTGTAATGATGGGGCTGCTAGAGCACCGGGACCCACAGAATCCCTGTCGTGACGCGCCTGCCAGGGCACACGACCCCTTAGAGCCCCTGTCATGGCAGGCCTGCTGGGATATACAACCCCACAGAGCCCCCATCGTGACAGGCCTGCTAGAGAGCAGGGACCCACAGAGCCTTTGTTGTGACGGGCCTGCCAGGGCACACCGCCCCACAGAACCCTGCCGTGACAGGTCCGGTAAGAGCACAGGGATCCTCAGAACGCTGTGATGATGGGCCTGTCGGAGCCGCACCCCTGGCGGCCTCCTAGAGGCAGAGAACTCACAGTGGGGCGAGTTTGGGCTCCTCCACCCTTGATGGATCTGAGTGACTATTCCAGAGGAACCTGAACCCCCCCGATTGGTCTGTGGTGTTTCCTGGGGCAGCTGGGCTTTGCTGGACTGAGTCAGGGACAGACCCACCTGGGGGGGCACCCTGTGCCATCCCCCCTTCTGCCTGTGGTCGCCTGGCAGGGACGGAGGCGGTCAGCCAGCTCGGCCCCTCTTCCTAGGCCTGGCCGGGTCACTCGGGGGAATGCTCTCCCCCTGGGCTTTGTTTCTCCACGTGTGAGACGGGGGCACACCTGTTGCCCAGCCCTCAGAGTGGCACCCGGCAGCCTGGGTCCTGCCTGGCCAGGGGTGCTCATGTCCTGCTCTCTACCAGCAGCAGTTCCAGAACGGGGAGTCGGAGGAGAGCCACGAGCAGTTCCTGAAGGGCCTGCAGAATGCCGTGACCACCTTTGTCAACCGCATGAAGAGCAACCACATACGAGGCCGGAGCATCACCAACGACTCGGCCGTGCTCTCCCTGTTCCAGGCCATCAACGGCATGCACCCCCAGCTCCTGGAGCTGCTCAACCAGCTGGACGAGCGTCGGCGTGCGTCCTGCAGAGCCCCCCGGGGGCGCACGGGCTTGGGGGGCAGGGCCACCTGGGCAGCCACAGCAGGCAGTGTGTCTGTGGTGATGCTTCTGTCAGACAGCACCCTGTCTTCTCCCCACAGTCTACTACGAGGGCCTGCAGGACAAGCTGGCCCAGATCCGTGATGCCCGGGGGGCCCTCAGCGCCCTGCGGGAGGAGCACCGAGAAAAGGTGCGCCGGGCGGCTGAGGAGGCCGAGCGCCAGCGCCAGATCCAGCTGGCCCACAAGCTGGAGATCATGCGGCAGAAGAAGCAGGTATGGTGGCCCAGCGCCAGGGCGCTGCTCCTAGGGTGGTGGTCTGGGGTGAGGGCGCCGCTCCCAGGGTGGGCAGCCTGGGGTGAGGGCGCTGCTCTCGGCGGGTGCCCCGGGATGAGGGCGCTGCTCCCAGGGCAGGTGGCCTGGGGCAAGGGCGCTGCTCTTTAGAGGCAGGGGGCACACGGCATGAGGCAGCCAGCTGAGCACTGCGGCCGCCCCCCCCAGGAGTACCTGGAAGTGCAGCGGCAGCTGGCCATCCAGCGCCTACAGGAGCAGGAGAAGGAGCGGCAGCTGCGCCTGGAGCAGCAGAAGCAGACGGTGCAGATGCGCGCCCAGATGCCGGCCTTCCCCCTGCCCTACGCCCAGGCACGCGCCCACCCCGTCCCTCTGCCCTACGCCCAG